AAAATATTTTGAATCAAAACTAGAGGCAAAGGTTTGTGTATGTATGACATATTAATGTGAAGGAACTAGAGTTTCGAGAAAGGTGCATTTAGTAGATAAAGAAATATCACCATCAATATGGTTGAAGTAGACAGGGAGAGTAGTGACGAGTTCAAGGATTTGGTACAGAGCTACAAGATCAGAAAGATGATCAAGGTTGAAAGGGTAAAAATCTAACAAGGAAGAACTATCAACGTTGACTATTTGATAATTTGAGCGAAATAGAGGAATCTAAGTGAGAATAAAGAGAATTAAGGCATAAATAGGACAAATCTAGAAGGGAAAGAAAATAGAACAAGAAAATAAAATAGGAAAAGTTGGGCAAAAAATTTAAGAGGACAATGATTTAGTAGAAAAAAATAAAATCATGTCTTTCAACATATTTTTTATTAAAATTTAGTCAAATTATTTATATATATGTCTATGTGTGTATATAGATATTTTAAAATGTATATTGTTTATATATTGCCCTTTCTATTATATTCAGGATAGATATTATGACTAAAATAAATATAAAATAGAGATATGTGATTGAAATTGGCTATGAAATATGTGGTTAGTGGTTCTAAGTTGGTTATGATCAAAGTTAGGTTGTTATGAACCAAAATGGTGTTGGTTATGCGATATGTGATTAGTGGTTATGAGTGATATTTGTTATGAGATGTGGTTATGAAATATGTGATATTGGTTATGATCAAAGTGGTATGATTATGAGTCAAACGGTATTGGTTATGAGATGTGGTTACAAGATATGTGATTAATGGTTATGAGCCAAGGAATGTTGATTATGAGATGTGATTATGAAATATATGGGTAGTGGTTATGAGATGTGTGATGTTAGTTATGATTAGTGTGGTTATGAGCAAAAAGGAGTTGGTTATGAAATATGTGATTAATGATATGATATATGTGATATTGGTTATGAGCCAAAGGGTGCTGATTATAAGATATGTAGGTAATGGTTTACGAGATATATGATTAGTGATTATGAGATACGTGATTTTGATTATTAGCAAAATGATGTAGATATGAGTCAAAGGATGTTTAGTTATGAGATATCTGATTAGTGATTATGATATATGTGATATTGGTTACGATCAAAGTGATGTAGTTATAAGTCAAAAGGTGTTGGTTATGAAATATGCGATTAGCGGTTATGAGCCAAAGGGTGTTAGTTATGAGTTATGAGATATATGATTAGTGATTTTGATTATGAGCAAAGTGGTATGATTATGAATCAAAATGTATTTGGTTACGAGATATGTGATATTGATTATGATCAAAATGGTGTGGTTATGAGTAAAATAATGTTGGTTATGAGATATGTGATGTTAGTTATGAGTTAAGGGTGTTGGTTATGAGATGTGATTATGAGCTACTACAACAAAACCGACTTTTACGGTACCACATCAACGGCATACAATAAATGCACACCGTAGTTTCTCACTTTTATGACTTGTTTTTTTTACACATCGTAAATACTTTTCCAACCATGGCATGTCTATTGCGTAGGCCGTGAATGGTAATAACAATGATTTTTTTACGGCTTGCAATGCATGCCGTAAATAATAAAACTTTCTACGACATGTATATGGTGTGTCGTTAATACATTAATTATACACGATGCACATACGCTAGTTGGGAAAAGTAAATATTTTTCACGGCGCACACAATGCCCATAGTTAAAAGTATTACACTTTTTATGATGCACACATTGTGTGCCGTTAAAATTATTATCTTTTCATGACACACAATGCAAGTCGTGAATTGTATGATAAAAAAAGGAGGGTAAATTACACTGACTGTAACGCCCTCAAAATAATAACATTAAACCCAACAAATAAGACAAGCGTTGATAGATAAACTAACCACATTCTTTTATACATTAGAATTCCGTTACATAAGTATTACATGTTAATCTCATAACAAAATGCCCTACGGGCTTACAGCTTTCCAAGTTAACACTTGGTTACAACAAAGAGTTCTAACTCGTTTACACATTAAGCCCTTGGCTTGAAATTACATGTAATACATCAAAAGTAAAACGGTAAACCCGGGATCGATCGCTATACTGACACCCCCTGAGATTTATGTTTATTACAGTTCTCCCCCTCATCTTTTAGAAATTACATCTCTCCCCCTGAGGTTTAAAGTTTCATTACAGATTTTCCCCTCCAGCAATTTAATTTTTTTAAATACTAATTTTGCCTTCATTGGGTAAATTACGTTCACACCCCTCACATTTTAGAAATTACAATCCCCTCCTTAAGGTTTAAAGTAGTATTATGAATTGCCCCATCGGTTAGTATTAGTTGGAAAAAAAATTCATTGAAAAAAAAATTAATTGGAAAAAAAATTATTTAAAAAAAAATTAATTAAAAATCATTTTTGTTAGTAAAATTTTTAAATTTCTGTTTAAAAACCAACGTAAGCTTATTTTTTGAATTTACGTTTTTTCCTCAAATTGACAAACTGAGACAACCATTTATATACCAAAAAAATTATCAAACAAGTTTTTATGACAGTTTTTAAAATTTTTGTAAATATAAATTGAAAACTGAAAACAAAATAGTTACCAAACAGGCTTGATGGTAAAAATGTCGTAAAATTAACAAATAATTAAATAAGTTACCAACGTAAGAAATGACTTATCAAAAGATTCATAGGCTATGTATGGTTTTATTTTTAGAAAAAATTTTTAAAAATTAAAAATTAATTGGGTTAAGAAATAAAAAATAAAAAATAATTATCATTTTTATATAATTTTTATCTTTCGAGTGGTTAGAAATAATTTTTTACAAATTAAATTGAAACAGCTATACGTATATATATAACATGCTCAAAAGTTAAAATGATAATTATTTTTTACCTTTAAATGATAATTATTTTTTATTTTTTATTTCTTAACCAAATTATTTTTTAATTTTTAAAATTTTTTCTAAAAATCAAACCATACATAGTCTAAGAATATTTTAATAAGTTATTTCTTACGTTGGTAACTTATTTAATTATTTGTTAATTTTACGACGTTTTTACCATCAAGCCTGTTTGGTAACCATTTCGTTTTCAGTTTTCAATTTATATTTACAAAAATTTTAAAAACTGTTATAAAAAACTTGTTTGATAATTTTTTTGGTTTATAAATGGTTGTTTCAGTTTGTAAATTTGAGGAAAAAATGTAAATTCAAAAAATGAGCTTACGTTGGTTTTTAAACAGAAATTTAAAAATTTTACTAACAAAATTTTTTTTTTCAATGAATTTTTTTTCCAACTAATACTAATCGAGGGGGTAATTGGTAATGCTACTTAAACCTTAGGGAAGGGATTGTAATTTCTAAAATATGAGGGGTGTTAATGTAATTTACCCAATAAGGGCAAACTTGATATTTAAAAAAATTAATTTGCTGAAGGAAGAATCTGTAATGAAATTTTAAATTTCAGGGAAAGATATAATTTTTAAAAAGTAAAAAAAAAATTTAATAAATATAAATCTTAGAAGTATCAGTGTAATTTAATAAAAAAAATTAGAAGTATCAGTGTAATTTAGGCCTCGTTTGGGAACAGGCTAATTTAGTAACTTTTTGGCTATTTGACTAAAAAGGTAAGTAAAAAAAACTTGTATGTTTGGGATGACTTTTTGGCTAATTACGAAAAGATGTGCAAAAAGTAGAGAGAAAAGAGAATCTTTGATTTTTTGGTATGAGTTGTTGGCTTTTTGACTAATTTAGTAACTTTTTGGCTAATTGACTAAAAAAGTAAGTCCCCAAACGGGGCTTTAATAAAAAAAAAAGCGTCAAAATGAAATTTGGGGCGCCAATATTTTTTTTTTTTGGAAATAACTATTTTGCCTTCGCAGTCCAGCACTCCCTCCACGTGGGGGCTGCCAATGGGTGAAAAAAAAAAAAAAAAAAAAAAAAACAGTTTTTTGACCAATCAAAGAGACCGCAGCACCCCACTGGGGTCTCATGCATTTTCCTTTGCCTTCAGGGTCTCAGTCTCTCTCTCTATCTGATGATGAGCTAGGGTTATCATCTCATCTCTTCTCTTCGGTTGCTAGGGTTGCCGAACCAATCGACTACTAGGTTTGCTTCTTCTTCCCCTCTCTCTCTCTCTCTCTCTACAAATCGCCTTTTTTCTCTGTATATTCGAACCTTGGGATAATCCACCGCCGCCCTCTCTTTGATAACCGGGTTTTCCCCTTTCTTTCTCTATATCTCTCTCTACATATGTCCATACATGTATATCTGATCTGTTTGTCCCTTCTTCTAAGTTCAATCGAAACCCTTTTATTGTTTTATTATGTTTATCTATTTGATTTTCTTATTTGTAAAATATATAGATTTTTCTCGGCAATATATATATATATATATGTATGTATGTATGTATGTGTGTATATGCAGTGTATAGAAGTGTGAGATGGCAGCTCTACTTTCATCTTATTAACTCCAACAGATTGAGTCCAAAAAAAAGGTCCCTTACTTCCATTCGTTGCAAATCACGAAGGAGCTCTCTTCGGCATCTTTGTGTTGATAGCCACACCTTTCTTTCCCTTTTCTCGGTGTGACACCATTATTGTTTCAATCTAATGTGCCTCAGTCTTTTACTCTGGAATTTTTTTTCTTCTTAATTCTATTTCCCTTTCCATCCTCTTCCCCCCATTTTCTCTGGGTTTTGTTTTGTTTGATGGAAGATTGTTTCTAAAGAAGAAGATTTTTACTTTTAAAGGCTCAATTTTTCTTTTTGTTTTTTGTTTTTTTTTTGTTTTTCTAAGGAAAAATATTTGATTCATGTACGATTGGCTTTTTGGTGATACAAAATTATTAATGTTTTTCTAGGTTTTTGGGTTTTTATATTTAAATTCATTGATGGATTTTTTTTTCTAGGGAAAAATATTTGATTCATGTTCAATTGGCTTTTCGGTGATACAATGCAGTTTCAGAGGTTTGTTTTTAGTTTTTTTACTTTTGCGTATCTTAGTTGAGTTGTATTGTAACAGTTTGGTTATGGGTTGGAAATTGATGTTTGATTTGAATGATGAAAATTTTGATGGGATATGATTTTAATCTTTTCCAATTGGTGTGAAAAACTAAAAAATTCATGGTTGTGGTTGCCACCACTGTTACGCTACAACCGTTATACCCTGCAACCATGTTAGCAACCATGTCAGCACCACCGTTACCATTACGGTTGCTGCCACCGCTAAAACCTTGGCCCATATCCTAACAGCTTGAGTTTTTAGGACAATTCTTTGATCCTTCTATTCAAAGTTCTTTTCTGAGAATTATGCTTTTTGTGGTGCCACTACTTCTATGCCATGTCTGTCTGAATGCTAAACTCTGATATCCACTGGCATCTGTTTGTTTTTTTTTGCCTTAAATTGCTGATTTAGTAGATGGAAAATTTTGTAAATTTAAAATTAAGAAAAAGCTATAGTTGCTGATTTCTGTACTTCCAATGCACCCACTAACCATCACATCCTTTAGAACAGCGTAGTGGCTGTTTACAAGTATCATCACATCCTATGCACATTCATTTCATTCGTATCACACACTTGTTTCTAGTAAGTACAAAAAGATGAGCTAGTGTCTGCACTACTTTTAATATTTGTGGTGCACTCCGTGTTTTTTGATACTCCTTCGGCAGTAAAATGTGAAGTTATGCAACCGCAGGGTTTAGCCAAGTGGCCAGTGTACCTCACTAAAAGGTCATGAGTTTGACCCACCCGTCCCCTTCAATGTACCAAAGAAAGTGAGTGAAGTAATATGTTTTGTTTATTTTGTGACTGTCAAAGCCTAGACTCTAGACATTCCTTTTCACCTAGTAGAATCTTCCTCAGCATTAATGAATGATCCTTTTTTGAAAAATAAACAAGTAATTATGCTGTCCTTACAGATTCTTCAGAGTTAATAAAGGATGTCTATGATGAACTATGCCATTCTAAATATACATCTTTTTCAGTTCTTTTTTATTTTGCATATCACCTTTGTTCTTATTCTTCTCCCAGCACTTCTTTTTTTTTAATAATTGAAGTAGATTTCCTTTTTATTTTTTTATTTTTATGAAATGTAACACTAAAAATTTGTCAATTGGTAATATCAGCAACCTAATATTCTTGTTAAAGTAGTGAAGAAACAAAACGTTTACTTGGTTTTACGTTGAATGCCGCTTGTGGTTTTGACTCTATTCTGATTTTCTTGGAATCAATCAATGACCTGCTAGTTTATTTAGACCACATCATTATGGTGATTGAGTACTCAAGATGTGTTTTATCTGCAACCCTTTTATGAGATACTTACCATTGCACTGTCACCAGATTCATCATCCCCAAATGCTAGGGGTGGCTCGTGTGCCACTGCCTCTTGATTTTCCGCAGGACGAGCCCATATATGTTAATGCGAAACAATACCATGCAATTCTCAGGCGAAGACAATACCGTGCCAAGCTTGAAGCTCAAAACAAAGTCTCAAAAGCTCGAAAGGTATGAACGGGCCTTATATTTTCAGCTTCTTTCATGTGTTTTCCTCCAATCAGTCTGCTGTGTTGTGGTATGGTGCAGTGCTGTGCCTATTTGACCAAAAAAGTATTACTTCTTCAGAAGGTGAGCTCCTCGAGTTTGGGCCTCTGAAGATTTTTAAAGATGAAATGTCATCTATAAATATTTTAAAAGATGAAATGTCATCTATGAGCAAGTTTTTATCTTAGGCATTAATTAGTTTTTACTTTTAATTAGTACATGGGTGAAATTATAATTCTATTAGATGGAGTAAACAACACTAGTCATTATCATTTTTTTCTTATTTTTTATTTAAATAACTACACTATTTTCAGCTGCAAAGAGTAAACACAAGTATTGTAGATGGCTCTGATGCTCTGTTTCTTTATAAAGAATGGAGCTGTCACTGTCCAGGTGCCGTGTCTGCCTGCTGTTACTGTCTATAAATTCTGCAGGATTGTGATGTGTATGCTTTAGTTTAGCTTCTATGAATAGCTGCCCAGGTGCTGTGTGTGAGTGTGTCTCTTCCTTGCTGCTGTTGATTCTGCCTTGCTGCTGCTAGCTCTGTTTGCTGCCTGTTTAGCAACTGTCTAGGTGTTGTTTGTGAGTGTGTATCGCTATTTCTGCAGCTACTGCCTCACATGTACTGTGGCCATTTTTGTAGAGGTTGTTTTTGTTTGTTGGGTTTTAGTTGGTTTTATTTTCTTCTGTTGGTTTTGTCAGTTTTGTTTTTTTTGTTTTTTTTTTGGCTGGGTTGTTTAGTCATGTTAGGGCCTAGGGCATGCCCCCCTGTAATCTTGTATTTTTTCCTGTTTTAATTTATGACTTATTCACCTCAAAAAAAAAAAAAAAAAAAAAAGAAAGAAAAAAGTCTTGCGTTTAGGGGAAACACCATCATCATCATGCATAACAAAGTCTATTTATTTCTTTATAATAGCTGTTAGTTAATTAATATATACAATATAGTAACATCACATAATATTATGTTCTTGTTATTTAATTATTATATGATACTACTACTACTATATTATTGCTATGTCAATGTTCTATATCCATTATTATAGGTATTATCATTATGCCATGCCACTGATTTGAGCACTAGCTTTTTAAATTAATGGTGTCTGAAAAAGCTAATGCCCTAAAATTGCTCATTTGACTATAAGTCGAGGACACTTGAAGAGATAAAAACTCTCTTTTTATTGGATGATGGAAAAATAAATTAGTTTTTCCAATTATAAAATTTTGATACATGATCACAATTGTTTTGTTTTGCTTGAATGGCTATTTATAGTATTGTGTTAGAGATATGTTTTTGACAAATGACTTTAAACATAATATATTGCTAACATTGCTTTTCACGAAATGATGATAGCAAACATAACATAATAAATTTTAGATCACCCTTTAAGCACCATCTTGTGAAACTAAGTTGAATGAGGGATAGTTTGTTATTGACAGTTTTATCTGAGTTTCCAGAATATTGAAGCAATTGACAGATGAGCAAACTTTGAAAGATATGTTGTTGTTATTCTGTGCTTTTTAAGAACTTGAAGTAGTGAAATGTTGAGATTCCACAAATTTTCCAGTCAAAAAGGCATAAACAAGATCTCTTAGCTGAAATAGTTTCGGAGGAGCAACGTGGTAGGGAACTGTCTAAAATTGTGACAGAATTGCTTCCTAATCCAAAGAGCTCTACAATTGTGGATAAACCATCCCGGGCCTGAAAGGTATGGTTCTCAATCTCCATGTGTAAACTACAGGATCTGTCTTTAGTCCTTGTTGAGAGTAGTGATGATAAAGTGTTCTATTAACTTCAATGCTTCTACAATTTGCCAGAGGAGTAATGACAGAAATAAGGTGTCTAAATGATTGACTGAAGAAGCAGAGAAATATTTTGAGGGCTTCATTTCAAATGTTGAAGATACAGATATTTCTTCATTTGATGGAGAAAGGAGTGATGCAAGTTCGACTTTAGGAGTAACAAAGACTAGAGATGCAGTGTCACATTCTAGGGAAACAGAAACAATTTATAATACATCAGGATCTAATTCTCTTCCTGTTGAAATGAATGGTGTTATTCTGCCTTGGTTGCAGTGGGAGACCGCTAATGATGGTTCCCCTCTTCCATCGAAGAATAAGAGAGAGCTTCCTGTGACTCCAAAAAGCATCTTATGGGATGCGACTCAGGTAACCTTCAAACTGATACGTACTTGTAATATTTTAATTCATAAATTGCTGTTCTAACCTTTGTTGACTAAAAAGTTATTGCACAGAACATATTTTCATTTAGTTGTAAGTTGACTGCTTCACTGGCTTACAGTAGTTTCATTTAGTTGTAAGTTGTTTGCTTCATTGGTTTATAAGAAATTAGTTGCCTTTTGTACCCGTGATAAGAATTATACAATATCAACTCTTCAGATTTTAAATTATGGTTGATAAATTTTTAAACAAGATTTTTTTGGCTGAAATTTCAAGCTTAATAGAACTTTATATTTTATAGGTTGAAATTTGATAGCATATAGAACATTGAAAAGGGAAAATAAATAGACTTTACAATCTTTCTTTTTTTTTTTGATAAGTACAAACTTTACAATCTTTACTCGTGTGCTAAGAAGCATGGATACGGACACGTGACACGACACGAGTACGACACGGACACGTCGACACGTTAATTTTCAAAAAATGCAGGACACGACACGATGAGGACACGCATGAAATATATAATTTTATATGTTATATATATATGAATATATCATTCAAAGATAATAAAAAATGCAATATGACACTAATTCTTATAAATTTATATGGTTTTTATTTTATTATTGTATCTTAAATTATTTTGTTCAAACTTATAATTAGTTTTACGTATGTCTAATCGTTAGACACGTGTGTTTAAATGATTGACACGTGTGTCCTTCAAGTGTCCAAAGAGTGTCCAAGTCTTTAAACAATAGGACACGTTTTGAAGAGTGTCGGACACGTGTCCTGAGAGTGTCCAAAGAGTGTCGGTGTCCGACACGTACCCGACACTGATACGTCACCTTCCTAGAAGTGTCCGTGCTTCTTAGCTCGTGTGTATCTTAAAATTGAAAAGTTTAAGTTGGTACATGCAGTTTTCAAACTTTGACTTTTTTCAATTATTTGGTCATGTCTCATTTGAGTTTTAATTGTTTTACAAAATTGTTCAAATGTCATTTATATAGGCAAACATGATGTGGTTACAATAATTTATCTTTGTATTTGCTTGAAGTCAATGCTATTGCTGTGTAATAAAATGTTGCTTACTTGCCAATGCATTCAACCCAAACTGTCTACCAACCCTTTAGCTGTCCAACCACCCAAGTAACTGGGTTGACTTGTGGCATCATGCTGATATCAAAATGCCTATTAACAAACATAATTAGCAAAAAGGATGAGAAATAATTTGAAGATAAATTATGATGACCTTGATCTAGTGCACTGTTCATAGCCCTGTTGGTGCCACAAGATCAATTTAAGGAAATGCTAATTTGCTTCACTTTGTTTTTTATTTTGTATTTTTTGACAAGTAAATAATTCTTCAAGTCTACTGCCATCTCCACTTATTGAAATGCTTTAAACTCCATTCTGGTTTTTAAAACATTGATTATAGAACATAATGTGTTTCACTCAACCAACATTATTTATAGGATATAGTTTCAACAGTTTTTTGCATCACCCATCAATAGGGAATTTCGGGTCCTCAATTCAATATTGCTCATATTAATTTGCATTTTTTTTCCTCTAATTAAATTCTTAGATTTTGACCATCTCTTTTTGGTTGCTTGGAATATTAGTTAGGTGATTAGATTTGCTGCAGAACCATGTTCTGCACTCTATTTTTTTTTTTTTTTTGCAACAATGCGAAACTCATTTAGGCTATTATTCATGGGTATAAAACGGATGACTTGCAAATAAGCATGCATTGTGGTTGTAACCAAAAGTTAATGATGGCAAGGAGAGAATCTGTGTTAGGAGTTAAAAGGATGTAACCAAAAGTAAAAGCCAAGGGGGTCTAGGAGTTAAAAGGATGTAACCAAAAGTAAAAGGCAAGTGTGTTATAGTTAACTCTTTATACAACAGAAATGGTGATCATGAGGCTGGACCTTAAATTTTAGAACTCTGTTTCAATGGGGAGGTGGAGGAAATAATGAGATTAAATGATGCTCTACTTACTGCACCTGCTATTAGAGACAACAGGTATGACAATTTAAGGTGGTCTACTGGTTGCTCAAATAGATTTTTTCTCCTCAGCCTATCATTGGTTTGAATTGTCCTTGGGCCCTGTTTGTAGAATTACGGCCTCTATTTGAAAAAATGTTGCCCCTCCCAAAGCTCAATTCTTTGGGTGGTTGGCATGGAGGAGGATCAAATCATCCAGCTATCTTCAAAGGATTGGAGTTCTCAATAATAATGCTATTGTTCTTTCTGTTTTTTGCAGGACTGAGGTGGAATCTGATGTCGTTTGTTTGGTTACTTTGGTCACATGTTATTAGATGGTGGGGTTTAGTTTGGGCATTACCAGGCTTTGTTAATGACTTGCTCCAATGGTGGGCTCACTACAAGAATAGTGGGATTTAACGGCGTTTATTTAACGACGTTTAAAAAAATGCCTCTGTTTTTAACATTTAACAGCGTTTTTATAAACGTCGCATTTTGTTTAATAATACGACCCCGTTTTAATTTCAGAAGTCGTTTTTAAAACGCCTTCGAATGTGTTTTTTTACTTTTTTAATATGTGAGAACATAATGTAGCGTATTCACTCTCAGTCTCCCTCTTTCTGTCTAAACCTTGATTTTACTCTCTCTCTCTCTCTTCAAACCCCTTCGTATTTGTAGAACCGCAGCTGAACCCCTTTGTATTCGTAGATCGATTTATGTATTCGTAGATCGATTCAAGTATTATTCACTCTCAGTCTTGCTCTCTCTCTCTAAACCCTTGATTTCAATCCCTCTCGCTTCAAACCCCTTCGTTTCAGAGACAACCCTTCATATTTGTAGAACCATAGCTGAACCCCTTCGTATTTGCAGATCGATTCAAGTATTCATAGATTGATTCAAGCCTCTTCTCTAGTTCGTGTTCGCGTTTGCGTTCGCAGCTCTTTCTTCATAGTAAGTATTGATCAGTCTCATCTCTATCTTCTTACTGACAGAATCATTCGATTCAAGTATGCTAGGTTTCATCTACTTTATCATTCTTAGATCATATTGAAGATCTATTGATTTGATTCAAGTATGGTAGGTTTCGATTGAAGATCTATTGATCGATTAAAGATCATAATGTGTATTGTAGATGTTTGTATAGTTTTCACAGGTTAATATTCATCTGTTTTCTTATCAGATGGATGATTTATAAATTTCTATGGTCTTAAAACATAATATGGCATTAATAGGATGTTTCTATGATGAGCTACTCTTTGGAGTGTTTATGCTGCTAAAAGTGTTAATCCCAAATTAGTTGGGTTGGCTTGGATATCCATTTTTTGCTGACAATCTTGATTGTGTAAGTAAAATGGCACTATTATTGGAATAAGTAATGTTCATATGTTAGTGCTTAATCTGACTCTGTTCATGCAGATGGTGATAGCTGTTTTCGCATACATCTATCATCACTCATTTGTTGCATCACAAAGTTTATCGGTTGAGATGATTTTGGACCAGGTAAGTTTGTGTACTAGAATGCTGATTTGCTTGTGGATATATTTTTACATTCAGATTCAATCAATAAACATGAGGAATTATTTTGGTGGCATTTCTGTGATGCAGATATTGATGAACCTCACTTTCGAGGAGCAGCGAGCTCTGTACACGAAGCTTGGACAGATCATCCAGGATAGGCTGTTTGAAGAGCCTTAAAATTAACAAAAATTGCAGGATCTCTGTAATTTATGTTGTATACATGTCAATTTCACTATGTAGGTGTTCTCTACAGTCAGTGCACACTCCTACATCGTGCACACCACCCATTATATGCATAAATTTTTCGGTGGACACTGTACAACCTTTCTCATGATTGCATGGCTTAAGAAAGATCTGAACTTTTGCGCACGGGATTGGTTTGGCTGCTTGGACGTTAGAGATGCTATGACATGGATCCTTCTTGTTAATTCATTTGATCCTTCTTGTTTCATATATGCTAGTATTTAATTAATTCCTCTTATGGTTACAGTTGCCTGAGAAGACATACAAGACTTTGGATGAATCTACCAAAATCCTAAGATTTGAAGTTCCATTCCCCATGTTTGCATACCCTATATATTTGTCTAGATTAAGTCTATCTAGTTGTTTATGACACTAGCCTCTTTGTGTCAATCTTGTTGCACATTTATCACAGATTGATTGCATTTGAAACAGTGCATTTATAGAATTGTTGTTGTCGTCGTCGTCGTCTCTACGTTTGCTCGAGTTGAATTTCAGATCCTCTACTTTTGAAAATATATATGTACATATTTTATCATGGTAGCTAGTCATGGATTGACATTACCACATTGACATTTTCGCTTTTTCCATTGACGATGGTGACATGTAGAGCTATAGTCATATCAGAGAAAAATGATGGACATTTGACTAACTCAATTGTTATCATGCATATATATATATGTATATATGTATATACACGGACACAATAACCTCTGCATAACAAGTCTTTGGCAATAATATAGGTTCTCTTGGCTTTTTGACATTTTGGAATTGTGTACATTTGACTGATGCATACATAACACATCCTATAAGAAAACTTTTTGGGCACTGTTTGTTCTTGGTCATGATTGGTAATATACATAACATGCTTACAATTCCTATTTTGGAAATTAAATTTGAAGGCTCATCTTTGTGTTTGTTTGTTTGTTTTTTTTTTTTTTTGAATCTGCAGTGGCCACGGAAGCTTTTCCGACAACCCTTTGTTGAACAGTGTTGTTGGACATCTCCTGCATTCGTCAATTCTTGTGCCTTATCATGGATGGTGTGTTCTTGATCTTAACTCTTTGATTTTGATATTTGTATATTTGTCTAGATTAAGTTTGTGAAGAAATGGTGTTTGTGCATATTTCCTCAAACTCCTCATTTATCACCTCTATTTTTCGAACCTTCTGATATGTAAAATTTTTATTTCCTCAAACTCCTCATTTATCACCTCTACGTAATTAGCATTTTTTGTTTCTATGAAGAAATGATTGATTGGAAATCTAACAGTATAGATGTTCAGTATTACAGTATTATTCTTAACAAGGAGATTCTGATATTGAAGTGATTGGGCTTTTAAAAACATTTTCCAAGAAGAAGTTGATAATATTTTCCAAGAAATTTTTTTATTTTTGGACATCACCTGTAAGGCCAGATAGCATAATAGGCATTTATTTTTGTGACAAGATCACCTAAGACTAACACAAGCTCAATCTAACACTACTTGGTGCTGCAACATCATCCAGACACCATTTTCAAAATGATACAAATACTGTTGAGGAGTATCAGAGGAACTCTCAAGTATTGTGTTGCATAAATAAGACCTATGAGCTGCTCGTTAAATGACTTTGTTTTGCCTCCAGAGAAGTCTGAGAAGCTCCACCTTCTTGGACCTAGAAACCACTCCTCAACGTAGAGAGCTTCTGGGGGATTGGATGCAGTGGTTTTCCCCAGGATTGGATGCAGTGGTTTTCCTCAGGATTGTTGTTTTCAGGTAATTATATCTTGACTTAAACTTGTAAAGTGAAAGTTCATTCATGTGTTGTAGAGGTGCATGTAGTCTTGATTTGGAGAATTACTAGAAATGACTGATATGTGGAGGTTTTTGGTTGTTACATTGCTGGGTAATGTGATTGTTTCCATGAACTACATTGATAAGGGATTTATTGTTGATTGCCTATCACTATCACAAAAAACAAGAAAAATAAATATAAAAGGGTTTCTTCTTGTTTGGTGCCTCTACGTTGGCATCCTCTTCTTCTTTTTCTTCTTCTTCTTATTTTTCTTCGCAAATGTTAGTGCATTTATAATATCAATTAATGTTTGAGTGAAGTTGCAAAATCTGTAATTTTCTTTGTCTAACACGAAAATGTGAAAAGATAGTAGCTATTCACGAGAATGGTATGATTGGCTGAAGAAAAGCTTGGCTACTCTTGTGGTATCCATCTTATATTATTTGCTTATGTTTTATTCTATTTTCTATGACTATGAATAAGGGATTTTTCATTCTAGCTGATTTAAAACAACTGGGACCATTTATAATATGAGGATCATGTTTTTGACAGTGTGACAAATACTATAATTTTTTAGTGCTTCACTTCATACAAGGTGTCTCACAGTTTTTATTTCTTTTGAACTTAATAATATATTTTTTTCATTCTTTGTAATCTGTCTTTCGCTATAGTGGGTACTCTGGACCTCTTTCAATTGAACATTGGAACATTCACAAATAACTGAAAGACATACCTCTTTTGTGCATACCATTCAAATGTTACCTTATTTGAATTATTTTGATGTTGTTGACTTGCTACTTTTCATCCATCCGGCTATTTAATGAGCTATGCTAGTCCACATCATTTGTTTCTTGAACATTATCCACCTTGACAGTTACTTTGGTAGCACTGGAGTTAGTGGTGCTATACCTTCAACGTTTGCTGCTCTACGAAATTTGCAGACAGTGTAAGAGCTTTCTGAACTATCCTTTTTGCATATCTGAGAAACTAAAATATTGTGTTCAGATTAATTGTTTTTGTTATCAATTTTACTGAGGAAGAATTTTGGGGATCTCAGGTGGGCTTCGGACAATGAACTCACTGGTAGCATACCTGAATTCATTGGGAATTGGTCAAAGCTTAAAAGCTTGTAAGCAATCTTCTATGTTGTGTTCTCTTTATTTTGACAATCACACTCAAATTATAGCCCTACTCTAAAATAGCAATGTGTAGTAACTGAGATGTATAACACTCTTCTGCAATCCACTTCACTTTTCTTTTTCTTTTTTTTCTTTCATTTATTTTATTATTTGTAAGAGATTTCAGGGAAACTCCTTTGGAGGTCCAATACCCAACATTTTCCAACTTAACCTTGATGGAGGACTTGTGAGCATTAACTCTTTCAACAGCTTTTGTTCATATTAGCATATCAATAATTTGTTGTTGATCAAAAAAAAAATATTAGCATATAAATAAAGCTAATCTTCTCTTTTATAATATACCCATGCTCATCTAGGAGAATAAGTGATTTATCTAATGGAAGTTCTTCATTGGCGTTTCTTAAGGATATGAAGTCTTTGAATCTCTTGTAAGGCGATATGGTTATTGCTGGCAAATCTATTCTGTTTTAATTTTTCATTTTCATGCTCCTTAATTGCTCTTGTACAAAACTAATATAACCATGTGGTTTCATGTCTTGCAGAATTCTGAGGAATAACAATATTTCTGGATCTATCCCATCCAACATTGGAGATAATCAAAGATTGTTACAACTGTAAGTTATTGCTATTAATTTCAGGTCAGCTCCCATATACTCCAACCTGAAATTTGGCCAGTTCAGAGCCAGATGGGGGAAGATGGGGTCAAAACCAGACAGCCAACTCTATGAAGCAAATACTTTTAATGTATTTATGTTATTATATAATGAATTTACTTGACCATGGTTTGTATAATTTTTCAGGGATTTTAGCTTCAACAAATTAACTGGACAGATTCCTGATTCGCTGTTCAATTTGAGCTCTCTTACTTGTAATAAACATCTTGTGCTGTATTATTTTAGAATCTTTCCAACAAATACTGTTTATTGCTTGAACTAATTTCTTCTTTATAAAAGGTACTTTTTTGGGTTAAATCTCACAGAATTAGCACAATTTTTTTTAAAAAAAAAAGAAAAGAAAGTTATAACGGCGTTTTTAAACGTCACTATAGAATATTAACGGTTATATTTTGAAAATAAAAATGACCTATCACGGGGTTTTTAAAACATTGCCAAATGTGTAGTGACGTCATTGTACAATTATGCAGCATATACTGATATAGTGACGCTTTTAAAGCGTCATAAAGTTACAGTGACGGCTGTATTTTCGACGTTTGGTACTAAACGTCACAAAAATAATTAGCGGCGTTTTTGATAGCTATAGCGGCGTTTTTTAAACGCCACTAAAAGCTCAATTTCCAGCAGTGGCTGGTGTAAATCTGTCAAAACTGGAGAGGAAAATATGGAATTCCATTCTATTTGCTGTTTTATGGTCAGTTAGGAAGCTTAGGAATGAGGTTGTCATTGATTTATTTCTGTGTTGTGATTAGGTGGAAGAATCAAAGTTTGTGTTTGAAGCCAAGATAATTCAGAGAATGGAGCTTCTGGTGCTATCTACTTTTCAATGGAAGATGAATCCTGTGACCCCACTTTCATTTGTTGATCACATTGTGAGGAGGTTTGGATTTAAGACAGATTTGCATTTGGAGTTTCTGTGGAGGTGTATGGACAATTGTTGAATGTTTATAATTTATGTATAGACAATTGTTGAATGTTTATAATTTATGGATATAGGTTTTTTTTGATGTTTCAAATTATATTTTGGTGGTTGATTGATGCCTTGTGATGTTTTTTTGTAATATTTGTTTGATTGTACAAAATTGGTCAAATAGAACTTGTTGAATTTAAAAAAAAAAAATTATATATTCTATGACAGACATAATAAGTCATTATATTATATATTTTACGGCGCGCAATTAGTGTTATTATTTGTCTTACCAATTAATGTCATAGAAAAAGTAACGATGACGTACAGCGTACTATAGCATGTAGAAAAAGTAACAACGATGCATAAAATTTGCCGTTAAATAGTTTTTAACGGCGTACGAAGTATGTCGTTGAAAGTAAATGACTTCTCATGACTTATCATAATATGATGTGCGCTGCACGTCGTAGAAGGGCATAAAATCTGTCGTTAAATAGTTTTTAACGGCGTACGAAGCATGTCGTTGAAAGTAAATGGCTTCCTATGATTGATCATAATATGACATGCGCTGCACGTCGTAGAAGGGTTTTTACGGCGTGCATTGCGCGTCATAAAAACCTTTTTTTGTTGTTGTATAGTGATTATGAGATATATGATATTGGTTATAATCAAAGTGGTGTGGTTATAAGTTAAAGAGTGTTGGTTATGAGATATGTGATTATGGTTATGAAATATGTGATATTGGATATGGGCAAAATGATGTTGGTTATGAGATATGTGATGATAGTTCATAACTAAGTTATGATCAATTTGATTCTAGTTATGAACAAATATGATTTTGGCTTATAATTATAAAAAGTGACCTATTTACCAGGTCATTTTTAATGGTGTGACTTAATCTTAATAATTAATTTTTTATGTACATTTTTTTTAAAGAAAATGTACTATAGAATTTCTCAAATTAACACTGCTCAATTAGTTTTAGTTATGCACCTTAAAATAGAGTTCGTACTGTAACACTACACAACCCAGCATAACAACGTTAAAACTCCTCGTGGGATTTCAAACACTAAAAGCCAACAATGTAATTTAGGAAAGTACTTGAACCAAGGCCTAACTTAAATCAAAATAAAATTTTGGGCCTACAGTTTGGGTACTTGGTTACAAGGTTTTAAAAACCGGACCGGACCGGCGGGTTCGACCAGTTGAACTGTCGACCAGTCTGGGTTCCGGTCCAGATACACCCACAAAACCGATCAAAGTGAAAAACCGACGGTCGAACCGCCGAACCTGTGGATGAAACCAAATTGTTGGTTTTTCTTTCTTTCTTTCTTATTATATATATATATATATATAAATATAAAATTTAATTGGAAACTCTCTTTCAAGGGTCTCTTGTGAGGAATCCCATTGAGAGCTTGAATTATTATGAAAGATTCTATCTATTTATAAGAAAAAAATTCTTCCAAAAAAACTCAAGAAATCTATGTGGGATTCAATCAAATTTATTGGAGGGAAATTTAAAATTTTGATATCCCTCAAAAATTTTTGCTCTTCTTTCAATTAAATTATTTAAATTAAAATCATATGGAGGGAATATTGAATATTTGATTTCTTTTTCCAAACTTAAAATCTATATAATAAAGCAGGATAGTTTTTGAATTTATCCTACACACATTTGTCCTACTAGGACATATTTTATTACTTATATTTTTATTTAATTATAATTATAATATATTTATGACGTCACGGTTTGATTCTGGTTCAACTCGACGGTTGAACTGGTGACCCATCCACCCGATTATTTTTCTAGTTCACTCACCGGTCCGATTTTTAAAACATCGCTTGGTTACACCTAGTTTTGTGCTAGTTGATCTTACTCCATTTTTACTTTTATAAACACATATATTTGGACTATGAGATAAATAATTATAGATGTAAATCCAAATGCTACCTTGGTGATGTAGATCAAATTGTAAAGTATTTGGAGCAATTGGATAGACAAGTGACAAAACAATAATTGTGAATTCATAAAAAACATATATATTAAGTGTAACAGTAATACCACTTTATGTAGTGTTGATGGTCAATGAAAAGTCACAAATGAATTAAATGGTCAACCCTTATCTCCTATTAACAAACAATGTTACAGTCCTATTGCAAATCAAAAATACTTATTGAATGGTGATACTTATCATATAATAACACTGTTACATCCAATATTTACTCAGACTCAAGCCAACATTGTTAGATTTGGTTTGGAAGACCCATATTCTATCTGAAATAGCACAACAGCAAAACTCACAACTTTTCCATTACCTAAGGCGGTTTTCGTGCCAATTCCACCATTAAAACTTTCAAATGTGCATTTTTATTATTTTTTTTGAAAATTTTCATTTGACAATAATATTATTTAGAAATTTCAGTTTTTGATGTCATTTGTTTTGAAAAGTTTATATTACTTTCTCGATGTCATTTGTTTTGAAAAGTTTATATTACTTTCTCGTATCAAATTTGAGCCTAAATCCATTTTTCTTGGGGGGGTAATTTTTCATCCAACTAGCCACTAAATGGGTGGATACCAACTTGAGCACCTTGCTTGATTTGATAATAGTCTTGGATAGAGATTCAAACTTTGTTTAGATCATAAATTTTAGTAGGAATTTGAAAAAAGAAAGAGAAAAGATAGATGAAATGTAACTATATTTTATTCACATTTTATCCTTTTTTTTTTTTTGGGTCTTTTTTTCTTTGGGGCAAAATTCATTTACCTCCTTGTGATTTTGGAGCACTTCACCTCCTTATGGTTTAAATATAGTCAAAAAATTCCCATGTGATTTTGGATTAAAGTGTCATTGTTAATTTTTTCATCCAAACTAACAAAAAGTGTATGACACACACCATTCTTTAAAGTGAGTTTAATTTTCTAAATAAAAAAAAAAAAGAGTTGCAAGTAACACAACAAAAAGACAATTTTATTCCCCATTTTCTCCAAACCTAAAATTAGATTAGGATGTTAATTAAAATTAAATTAAACCAAAATATAATTAAAAATTGATCTAAAATATAAAATATAATTAAGGATTGATTTAAAATTTAATTAAATTAAAATATATATTAAATAATAATTAGAATTAATCTAAAAAATAATTGAATTAAATTAGATTAAGATGTTGGGAATTACAATAAATAATTAAGAATTTATGATTAATTGTGATCTATAAAACATAATTCAATTAAAATTTTAATAATTATTATAAATAATTAAGGATTTAGGATTAATTGTGATCTAAAAAATAATAAAATTAAAATTAGATTAAAAAGTTAAGAATTACATTAAATAATTAATAATTTATAATTAATTGTGATTTAATTGAATTAATATTGGAAATTAAAAATTATGTATATGAGAGAAAAGAGAGAAAGAAAATAACAGAAAAAAGCATAGAGTTCAAGGATATTATAATCATTTCACATTTATAGTTAACAGTGTTAAAGGCTAAACTTTCGTTCAAAATCACATGGGACTTTTCTGACTGTATTGAACCAGAGAAGGGTAAAATGTTTCGGGCTTAAACCATAAGGGTTATAATGATATTTTATCTTTTCAAATTTCTACCCAAATCCATGATCTAAACACAGACTTTGAAGATTACGAAACTAATAGACTTAAGATGGTAAATGCGCCATTTAGGCTATATTTAGATCATGGATTTAAGTAAAGATTTGAAAATGAAAGAGAAAATGTGAATAAAATGTAAATATAATTATATTTCATTTACATTTCACTTATATATATATTTTTTCTTTTTAAATTTTTATTCAAATTTATAATCCAAACAAAGTGTCGAAATTGGCAAATAGCAAGATGAATGGGAAATCGAAACAAGCAACCATGCTCAAGACTCAAAAAACTTGCTAGGAAAACTTGTAAGGCAAAAGGTGATGAGAAATGTAACTTAACTTAATCATAAAATTTTGAAGGTAAATGATTGTTTGGGATGATCTAAATAAGTATACTTTTTGACTTTTTACGAAAAAACGTGAAATATGGGTTGGGTTTAAGGTGATATGGTAGAGAGATGATGTGATTTAAATAAGATGATGTGACTTAAACATGATAGTAACTTTTTGACTTTTTGACCTTTTTAGATTATGTCAAACAAGGCCTAAATGCTAACAAATGTTTTCATGACATTAGTTAATATTGAGAATGTATAAAAAGTGTATTAAAAAAGTGTAAAAAATTACAAAGTATTTTGAAATTCATAAAAAGTATATTGAATTAATAATAAATGTTTCAGGATCTACATATATTTTGTTTTTCCTTATATCTTAGGAGTACTTGTTAGTATGACCCAATTTTGAATTAATATGTTGAACTAGATCTTTTGGAACATTTTTGGGATGGAACTAATATTTTTAAATGATGAGAACATCTCAAAACAGCCAACCAAATCATTGAAAAAATCAAACAACATTCCTATATATGAACTCAACCAGTATCAAAGTAGAAAATCTAGACTAGAGTTGTCCTAGACCTTCGCTAATTTGATCATAACATGATATTATCGTTATATTGAAATTTTACTCATTGTGTAGATGGAATAATTCTATTGTCATATACATATATGTATAAATTCAATAAACAAAAAAATTACCAATTTTGATGATATCTTACCAAGATTTAAGTGATAATTTCTAGATATGTATTATAGAACAAGTACTAGGAATTGGCTCTTTACCTACCGTGCCTATGATGTCCGTGGTTGAGTTTTGCTAATTTCCACCTTCCACTCCTGTTGTCAAAAAAAAAAATAAATTAATTTTAAAAATATATCCCCCCCAAAAATTTACGTGGTATTTAATGGTTTTTTCAAGAAATAATTTCTTGAAATTTTAAATGAAAAATATTATTTTAAATGAAGAATATTGGGGATAAAAAGTAGGAAAAATTACATTTAAGTCCTAGTTTCAAAAAAAAAGTTACGAATTCATAAAAAAAAGTTTATGATTTTAATTATTAAAATTTATAAAATTTATCAATGATTGGCAATTATTAATTATTTATGGCTGATGTAATATTATTAATTATTAATTATTTATGGCT